TGACAAATCAACATGGCTCACACTCTCTCATGCACTTAAAACCTTCTTTTTACCCGAAGCAATGCAATGGAAAACTTTAGCACAGTGCGGAAAACGGACCCTTCTTTCACCGAAGCCCCACAAGATATTTCCATAGTAGGTATCAGATGATCAAACAGTCAAACCCGCCTGTTTTCACTGTCTTTATTGACCGGTGACACAATGCATTAATTTGATCCAAAATTTATTGTGGCCTCGTATGGCTGGACAGTCTGAATCATGCGGATTCACCGCTTGTTTGTCACACGTATTGCCCATACATGGACATTACAACTTAGTTCAACACGTTAAATTTCATCAGAGTGGGACCTAATAAGTTCAAAATCATATATTTCTACTCGATCAATGATCTTCGTACATCATACAGCCGGTAGTTATCTTGTGTTTCATGCACATGCAATTGATTATGTGCACACAATACTCCTGTAGGTATTGAGGTTCCAATATTTATACACAAATACCAGAGAGTGGACTCTACTGTGCCAACAGATATTAATATGTTCATGCATGTCCCTATTGTATGCAGACAAATATCACTACAAAAGTTCAGATATGAAGCATATGACTGCTCTGCTATGCGTGACAGTATTGCATTCATAAATTCATGGTTTCTAGCTAAGGGTCGGGTGTCCATAACATTTTTCAGAATAGATAACAAGTTTCTCCTAGTCTTTCTATCAACTTGCCATTAATGTCCGTGTAAGCTAAAGGCATGTAATCAATCACTCATTGTCAGATGCATTCAGAAGGGAACCTTCACCATCTCGTCATAGCGTATCCTTAATCAGGAAGAATTGATCTAAAGACACACATATATTTAGTAGGACAAAAAAAATAAAAATCATCCGTCTTTAATGCGTACTTAACAAGAAAAGAAAAGTGTCTGAATGCTTTCATTTAAGCCTAAATTTATTAGCAAAAATATGGGCAGCGATAAGATAAGTTGAAGAAACATGAACACCTTGTTGCATGATATTTGCAAGAGATTTATTCTTTATTAATCTTGACCAATTCCATGAGAAGTTCATGATTTATTTTTTGTCTTTCGTTTCCTTTTTAGAATGTTGGTAAAGCATACGGGTATCTTAGAAATAATTATGATGTGTGTGGGTTATACATGTATATGTTTGTCAGAAAGTAGAGGTGACATGGTTCAGGAAAAGGTGAGGGTAGGCCACTAAAAAAACTTAGCCATATACTAAACTGTCAATAAAGATGATATAGATTGAGTAAGTAGTAAAGAAAGATTTGGTTTTTTTTTTTTTCATAGTCCTATAGAGAACATATACAGTGTTAAGCAAAGTGGAATGGATGGAGATTAATCATTTAACCTAGCCTCTAAATATTTTGGATTCCAGTTTAAAGGAGTTCTGTTGGTAGAAACCATGTTAACTTTCAAGCACTGAATTGGATTTGCACCTGTCATGACTACCACATTGTTATAAAAAGAGAGAGTTCTGTAATGTGAATGCTGAGGAAAAAATATTCATGCTCTACATTTAGTTTCCAACTTTCCATACATGGTGTGTGGATGTATATTTAGCAGCTCAATCCGAAAGGAAAGAGTAGTGATGTAGAACTCTATGTCTACATATTACTCCCTCAATGTTAGATCAAGACAAACTTCAAAGGACAAGCAAAGTCAGGTTATCAGCTATCACTAGGGAAAGCTCCGTAGGGTTTGACTAGTAATCTATTTTCTGAAGCGATATTTCCTTCCTAGAAAATAACAGATTGCGTACAATTAAATGGAAGTCACACCAAATTTTAAGCATGATTAGATCTTCCCTCTTCCAAATTGCTGAAGGCGTATTGTCAAAGGAAGTTATTAGCATCGCCATGTTAAAGTGGAGAAATAAGGGAAATTTATCTACATTTATTGTTTCCATAAGCTAGAAAATACAAGAATGTCTCAATGTATCGGTTGTCAAGTTGCCTAGAACACTTGCCGTTATGCAGTTCAAAGAAAACGGAATTATATGAAATGTTTCTAGAAACATGTTTTACACATACCAATGGAACATTTATTTCTTACCCTTTCCTTTTGTGACTTAAAATGAAGTCGTCATCGTCACTGTCAGTGCTGATTTTCCTCTTGGCTTTAAGGTCACCATTCTTTGATATCTGTTGCTGCTTTTGAGAACTCTTAGGTCTACTAGTGGATGGATTGATAGATTTAATAGGAGTTCCCAAACGTTGCATTTTTTGCTTTCTTTGTTTCCTCTCATGTGCCTTTTTGGCCCTCTCTAGGGGAAGTAAGCCATGTTCCATCATCCTGCAAATTGAATTGCCATGCCTCTCAAACGAATTGCTGCTGAATTTACTAATTCCTCGCGAAAACGGAAATGAATTTCACACAGTTTACATAAGATATCTAACACAAGATATCCAGCCAAGGTGGAAAGGAAGATCTTTTTAGCACAACTGTATTCTGTGCATTTATGTGTAAGATGCTTTGTTACCATGTAACATGTCCAAAACGTCTTTAAAAGGCATTAACATCTTTTCTAGATCATATTTTTCCTCGAATGAACGAAGCCCAAGAAACCATCAAAAAGGAAAGTAAAAATACCCATGGAAGTAAGACAGGTCAAGGTCCTTATGAGATAGGTTAACATTCAGGCGTTCATCACAGTTTGAGAAACAAGTTATCCCTTCTATAGTAGTTGAAACAATATCCTCGGTTAAAAAAGGCGAAGGCAGTTTAGTTACTAAGCTACTTAATAAATTAAGGAAAGAAAGTTCAAATGTTTTACAGACCATGCACAGTAGTTCAAGTAATAAAAGAAGCAGGCATAGATAAGTAACCTTTTACCATTCAGGTCATCAATTTTTTTCCTACACTTCGCTGTTTATTTTTTACCTGAAGTTGAGACCAACAAGCTCATGGGTGCAAAACTTACACCAAGGTATTGCAATTCAGTATAGCAATGGAGGCATATAAGGCATCTAAACACTCAATTGTACATGCTCAAGATCACTGCTCTATATAGTAGGATGCAAAGTTTATTAACTGTTGACATAGAGATGCTTAGTTTGAAAAGCATCACTAGGCTCTAATTTGCTGGGATTCAAGTTGGGGATACAAAGAACATGCATGATTGCACAAATGTGCTCTGGATCAGGCTCCATTGCAATCAGGTTTGCTAGAGGATTCAAAGTCTGCTGAGAAAATGAGTCGGCTGTGGATATGATATCTAGCTCAACTCTAAGTTTAACATGTTCTGAGTCTTCTGACGCGTATGGCTATGGATAGCAAGGAGTTCAGAGCATCTAAAGTGTATGGTAACAGAAAATGAACACAGAGCCACGCCTAATCCCTAGAACCGAGCATGGAAATCCCAATGAAGCAGAGTAAGCAATGCAACAATAAATCACAATGAGCACTAGGACCAACCCCAGGTCTCACTCCTATTCAGGAAATTACAAAGGTAGGGGCTGCAACATCTTTTTTAGAAAATCATTTATGATCAAGTAGTTGATGAGGGAAAGCTCACCAAAATTCTGCCATTTCACTGGTTGGAATCTGTCTAGACAACGACTCGTAGAATATCCTAAGTGGTTCTCTCTGTCAAAAGAAAAGGGCAGTAAACATAAGAATGAATGATGCTTTCGACACAAAACTCATTATCCAAAACAACAGCAGAAAATGAAGACTTCAAAGCCAGACCTCTTCAGGAGGATCGCATCTCTGACCAGGCAAGGAGAATACTTTCTTCTGCCTCACTCTAGTAGTTGTAGTTGTCGTTGTGGTTCTTGACGAACTCGATGCTGATTTTGATTTTACCTTTTGATGTAAAACAAAACATACATTAAGCCTCATGAAACCCCAATATCAAATACCGAAACCAAACCCATCAAGAACCCAGAAAAAGTACTACCCCAAAAACTAATCAATTCCCTGCAGATTAACAAAATTAATACAGAAAACACCATATCCACATAAACCAATTCATTTCAAACTATACACAATAAACTACCAAATCAAGCATTAAATCCATATAATTGAATTGACTGAAAACAGTCTTAAGAACCTCAAAACAACCAAATCACCTATTCCACTATATAAAAATCAAAACCAAGATGCAAAAGATCACCTCAATAACAAAAATAGCCACTTCAGGATCAAAACATTGGGAAAAAATGAAAAAAGTTATGCATAATTTGAGAGATGGAGTACCTTACCTCAGTTTTAATAGCTACAGCTGTGACAGATTTGTTCTTTGAATCAACAACAGGTTGTTTCTGTTTGCTTGAGCTGTCAATTCTCATAAATTTCATTGAAGATTCAATCTTTCCCCTGGAAGCATCAAAATTACTACTTCTTGGCTTCATTTTCACCGCACTTTGCTTGCTTTCAGTTGCCATACCTATCTATCTATCAATCACCACTTCTTCTTCTTCTTTATTCCTTTTTTTATCTTTGATGTTGATCTTATCAATCAAGAAACCTTGAAACTAAGAATTATATAAAATCAAAGGCGAAATTAGGCAGATAAAGGAGAAAGTGTCGAAGTTTGCCGTCTATTGCCGTTTCATGAAACTGCTCGTTGTTTTCCTTGAGGTTGTTGTGTAAGATGAAGTACGTAACGCCGAATTTATGCATTTATCCCTATCGATTATGACGTGGATAAGATTAAGTGATAGTTATGAAGGCTAAAATGGTCGTTCAAAAAAGCTACCGTTTATCAGTAAAGTTAAGGTACGGGTGATGTCACTGTAACAGTTAACGATGGCTGGATGATTTTATCAAAACGGTGTTAAAGTATCAAGGAAGATGTGATCTACGGCTACTAGATGGAGAGCTCACGGATTTATTGTGTAAGTGCTTACCCTACATTTCTGTTGAATTTTTGGTAAGAATCTAGTTTATACTAATTTTCACGTCATTTCAGTTAAAAACACATGACTTACTTCTAACCGTTGATTCTCTCGTGAAAAAACGGAATTACAAATTCTAGTTTATATATATATATATATATAAACCAAACCAGTATACAACGATTAAAAAAATAAATAGAAATTTTTTTTTAAAATTTAATTGACTTGACAAGTCAACTGTTGTTAAAAATATCATTTGATATTTTTTTAAAAATAATGTTTTAAATTAAAAAAAATTTAAACAATACTAATTTAAATTAATTTAAATTAACTTAGTTAATTTATAACATAATCTTAGCAAAGTTATTTAAGTTTAATAAGCATGTCATTAATCTGCATGAGAATTTTCAATGACTTTCAAATTCAAATTCCTTATAATAACATAAGAAAAAAAAATTAATTTGCCTGCAAACCAATCACGAAGAATAAAGTTAATTAATAATAAAGTAATTAAATATATTACTTACTGTTGTTAAATTAATTAGATGATTTATTAACATTTAGTTTTGTGAAATTTGAGAATATTGTCGGCGTTAAAAAGATAAACCTTTTGGATGTGAAGCACCAGCTTGAAATAAATAATTAATAAAATTGAAAAAAAAAAAAAAAAACCCGAAGAACACGTTCGGCTCACAACTCGGAAGTTTCGAAGAAGTGACAATGGTAGGGGTGCGGCGTGCAGCAGTCCAGGTCCAACTTGGTTCGCTGATGATATTTTAGGGTTTCTTTTAAACAACTGAGATTCCCATCGAATTAATAAAAGAGGGGTTTTGAAGTTTATATTTCAATACTTTAAGGATCTTATAATATTTTTTATATTTACTATTTTGAAAATACAAAAATTTACTTCAAAAAATATTTTATGTTCTTAATCAGCATGGACTAGGCTCTGAGTCGGTGAATCATCGAGTCGAATAAGTATGCATTTAGGTTGGGTTAGCGTGATATCACAGAGAGCTTTTTAGTTCTCCAAGCTTAAATTCTAATACCGAGTGAAAACTGGCTGAAACTGTACGAGCTGATGCTGCGAAAACTGCAGTTTTGTGTATGTGGACAGAGATGACAACACTTGTCTAATCAGAGGAGGTATAAGGCACAGAAGCAGCGGGGTATGGCTGCGTAAGGCGATGGATTTTAGGCTCCGACAACCAGATGCTTGACTCACCTCAAGCTAGACTAAAAAGAGAAACCATTCCAGGTTATATAATTACCATGCAAGACTTAAGCAGGTCTTATTCGAAAAATTCTATTGTACCAAACTGAGTGGAGAATCATATGAAATAAATCATACTTCTCAGGCTTAGAATGCCAAAGAAAATGCTGCTGTACCTTCTTCACTCTCTTATGCATCTCTATATACTTCTCTTCTGGTATTGAAACAAGTATATTCTTCAAATTTGGGATATCTTTCTCCAAGACAATCACAGCAAAGGATTCCCAATCTAAAACCTCGAAAAATGGAGGCACAAAGTTATCAGATATTATAACTGGAACACACTCGTAGAATATAGCCTCCACAATTCGTGGGCTGTTCACTTCGTGACCTCTCGGACAAATGCAGAACTTGCTGTTCTTCATGTGTTGAATGTAGTTTGCATTACCCTTGACATGAGGCATAGGACCAAATATTTTCATATCAGGATCTTTGTTGCCCCAGTAATCCAAAAGAACTGGTCTCACATAGCCATGCATGTTACCTGCAAAGAAAGCAAGGATAGGTCTTTGGGAGGGAGGGTTGCCTTCCAAATTTTTGAGAGGATTCTGAGCTGAGCGCACATATGTTTCTGGAAGGGACACATCTTTCCCAATGCTGAAGCCTACTTCAATATCAGCATTACAGAGGGCTCTGATGCAATTGAGCAAAGGCCCCCTAGTTTCAGCAGGTGCCTGAAAAAATGGCATTTTATTACACTTTACGCTTTCAATACCACAGGCAGAGCGCTACAATAGATATAATTGGGTGTTTCATGCACCACTTATCATGGGATGAAACCATTTCATTTCATTCTTGGTATCATCACTTTAGGTTATTGTTAATGTTTCTCGATAGAAAAGAGCTGGTTTGCCAAAATAAACCATAAAATCAAGAATTCAGACAATTTTCTTTGGAGCAAGGAAAAATTGCCAAGAAATTTAATGAACTCCGCATTTAATATGTAACACAAAAAGCTTAGGGAGAACCCAAAAAGAAGATGACATAAAATTAGGCAGAAAAGCATACCCAATCATGGCACGCAGCAACAAAATGATCTGCTCCACCAGTTCTGTTCCAGAAATGATATTTTGCTGCTATCGTACCTGCATAATTTCTCATGTATTCGATAAGGTTTGTACGGCTGTGTGAGTGTCGAACATAAAGTGTTAACTCAAGAAGTCTTGAGCTGAAAGGAAGGTAAAATAAATGAGCTTTTCCAGGGTCTTTAGTAACAAAATTTTCATTAGCTTCCATATGCTTCATAAACCATCCTTCTGACGCATATATTCCATCAAGTATTGGCTGATGGAAGATGGGTTTTTCACCATCCTGGTAGACATAAACTCTGAGCATCTTCTCCATTAGTTCATAACTCCTGCCAGTGAAAACTGACATCAGAATTCCTCAAATACTATGAGAAACACTAACTAATGTGGTCTGAGCATAAAAACGCCACTGCAAACGTGTAGTCCCAGAAAGTAGTTGAAATAGTTTCTTCATATAAGCAAACTTATAATAAACAGACACATTTCTAGACAATGCTGAACGATATCCATGGGATTACAAGGACACAACAGCTTTTCTACCATCTATTGGTAAAGATGCCACCATAACTCTCAAGTCATAAAACTGCCACTACCTTGAGAGGATCTCCTAATCATGATATATACTATGTTCATGATTATCCATCTCCCCCAGTGCCCCAGTTTATGCTTTTCTACACTAGCATGGCATGGAATTCAAAATGTATGATGTTCATTTCTGGTAAAAACAATTACAGAAATGGAGGGATGAAAATTCTGTCAACATATAATATATCTACGAAAAGTATACCTCCTAAACATGGAAACATTGCGATATATAGGTGCATAAAGTCTACTTTCATTCTTTACTAAGGATGCATTCTCAATCTGTGATTTTGCAAATAGCATTTCCTGGTCAACTCCTGAAGGCCACAGTGGTCTCTGAAAACAGAATGGTGAAGGGGTATTAGTAAAAAATCTGGTATAGAGCTTAGTGTTGTCCCTTGATCAAAATTTGGATTGGACATTATTACATACCACTGAAGAGGATGAAGCATGACTCTGTCGAAGCAATTCATTCATCTGATATATTGAGATTACTCTGGATGGTGGTTTCTTGGATGTTTTCCTCTTTGCTGCTGTAACTTTGGATGAGAAAGAACCACTTGTAGACATGGAATTCTCATCTCTTTTAAGTGCTCCTGCAGTATCTTTTCTCACTGAAGAGGTGTTTGAACTCTCAAAAATCATTGGACTCGAATTTTCATCAGTTGAAAATGTTTTATTAGAGAATGTATTCATCATTGTTGGTGCAGATGATGGGTATCCAGGGTCAGCATCCGAGCTTCTGTTTCTTCCTGATATTGGAGCAATGTCTTTATCAACATTTATATAGGAAGCATCAGGTGCCATAGCCTTCTTTTCTTCAGAGCCATTAATTGTATTTAACGTGGAATTTTTGTCTTGGTTTGCAAGATCATCTGATGTAGTTTCATTTGAAACTAACCCAAAACTGTCACTTGAGCCTCTTTTCCTTTCCGATTCATTAGTATTATTTGGACTTCCTTCCTTTTCTTCTGATTTGCTAACTTCGGCTGTTTCTTTCTTGTCATCTGAGGCTTCATCACTATCTGTTGTCTCATGAAGTATACCTGTGTTAGTTGTGTTTAAACCATTTGAAAGTGTCATGTTACCTAGCACTTCCAAACCTGTCGATGAATTTCTGGACATGAAGCTTCTAGTGTTGACGGCAGAGAAAAGAGAGACTAAAACTCTACTAGATGGAAATTCAAGATATTGAACCACTATAACTATAGCAACTGTTGCTCCCACTAGAAAAAGCAATCTCCTTGCTTTCGCAAGGCACAAATGCTGATATCCTTGATCCATGAACCTTAAAGGATTTCTGATCCAAACAAAAGGGTCACCAAAATAAGTTCTGTCAGCACCGCAGAAGCTCCAAGCTGTAGTACGAAAATTGCAAACACTATATCAAATGCTAATTCTTTCAGAAAATAAATGCCAATCTTAGAGCCAAAGCAAAAACATCTTGGCATTGATATTGAAAAATATGATATGATGAGCTAGAACCTAAATTTATAATTTGAAATTAAGCTAAAAGATTTTCCACAGATAAGACTCCAAGTCCTCTTATCTGCATAACACCACAGAATCGCCATTTATCCTAAGCATTACTTCGTCTTTATTTTTTTTTTAGTTTTTCTTTCTACTACATTTATTTGAATTCAATATTCAAATAAATCGCCATAGCCTCCCAGAAAACCTAGCACGCCAAAGTTTGAATACATGATTCTAAAAAGATGCAAATTACCGATCCCTAGATGATTTTTCCCTTTCAAAAGCTCAAAATGAAATAATTCAAAAAAAAAAAAGACAGAAAAGTATAACTAGATCTTCAGAAATTTATGCAATATTCCCAGAACTTTATTGATTATATCTGGTGGAATCACGCCATCAGTCATCACCAAGACATGGCAAGCAAACTGAATACAGCATTGCACTTGAGATAAAACTACTTGCATATCTTCCATCAATACTGTCAAGTGTCAACTACATGTAGTTTACAGCAGTGAAACAAACTAAAGTAAATGAGAAACACAAATCTAAATCATGTAACTAGCAACCAAACCTAAACAGGACATCATCAGCAGAGGAAAAGTAATAGAAAATAAATACATCAGAAGAAGAATTTCAATAAAGAAAGAAGAAGAAAAAAATGAGGTGCCACCGACAACATCCGAAAGGTGAAATGAAAAGGCATTGTCTAATTCCAACAGATCATGTTAAAGAAATTAGCCGACATAATAAATCCATACATAAAAGGGAATATGCAGATTTGAAGATATCAGACGTACATGAACAAGAAGAAGGAAGAGATCACTGGAAGCTGACTCGGTCAGTCAATGGTGATTGTGTTTTTGAGTCTTTTGAGGCACAAGTTGTGGCTTTTGAGCTAGTGGGAAAAGAATGACATAGGTATTTGCTGTTATGCTATGCTATACTTTGCTAGGTGGGGCCATCAGCGTTTTCGCTTAGATTCTGTTTCTCAAGAAACGCATAGAAAATGAAGAAATACATCTTAACAGAAGAGAGGTTATTGGAATACCATGACCAAAGTTTTAAGGGTGGAGATGATCTTTTATTTTTTATTTTTTAATATTTATCGGCTAAGATTAATACTTGGGAAGGTTAAAGGAAAGGCTTTTGGAGTTTTGTTAGAATTCTGGTATGGATTAATCATACATTAATCAACCTTGGATTTAATAAACTAGCTATGGTATAGCTTAATCATACATCACCTTGGATTTAATAAAGTAACTATAGTATGGATTAATCATACATTAATCAACCTTGGATTTAATAAACTAGCTATGGTATAGCTTAATCATACATCACCTTGGATTTAATAAAGTAACTATAGTATGGATTAATCATACATTAATCAACCTTGGATTTAATAAACTAGCTATGGTATAGCTTAATCATACATCACCTTGGATTTAATAAAGTAACTATAGTATGGATTAATCATACATTAATCAACCTTGGATTTAATAAACTAACTATATAGAACAGGCATATAACATTTTATATTGATTAATTCAATATTCAACATTTTAAATTCCAAATTTACTCATGGAAGATAATATAAACAAGCTATTTTTGAGAACGAATTTGCTTGAAAGTTATCAAAGATGACTGGTGTGATCAAGATATTAAATCCAACAATTGGTTTGATAAAATCCAAAACATAAAAAATTATGGAGATAGGTAGAAGTTATCATAGACGTGTGATCCCAACCATTACTATTTGACTAAATAATTTTACGATCTTTGCATTGCATAACACTAACACCTTTATCACTATCTACACCACTCTCTTCTCACCATCATTTGCTTGTTTTATTTCAAACGTAGAAAGCACATTGAGCAGAAGGAATTCGGACTGGAATTATCAGATGTCAATGGAAGATCAGATACATATTTAAGTGAGTGAATTTGAAGAACCCTTTACAAAAAAGGAAAGGTGAGGTAAATACAGCAAACCAACTTTATTTTGCCAAAATATGTCCATAGAAAAAATCAAATTTAATAACAATGAAAGATCAAAATGCATCTATTTCCACCTGTCCAGGCAAACCATTTTTCACTTTCTCCACAAGGGTTTTTTTTTCAGACTACTTCCAATGAGAAGAACATCTATATCTGCCTTCCTTTTTTGTGTTATCTTGGCTGCATCTGGAAAACTCTGTTGTACCAGATTGAGTGGAGTATCATATGAAAGACATCATATTTCACAGGTCTAGCATGCCAAAGAAAATGCTGTTGTACCCTTTTGACCCTCGTCTGCATTCTTCGATACTTCTTCGCCGGGATTGAAAGGAGTATTTTCTTCAAGTTCGGAATGTCCTTCTCCAAGACAAAAACAGCAAAGGATTCCCAGTTCAAAACCTCCAAAAATGGAGGCACAAAATTGTCAGATATAATCACGGGAACACACTCATAGAAAATGGCCTCTACAACTCGTGGACTATTGACTTCGTAACCTTTTGCACAGATACAGTACTTGCTGCTCTTCATGTACCGAGCGTAGTTCATTTTGCCTCTGCCCTTTACCTTAGGCAATCTACCAAATATTTTCATGTCAGGATCTTTATTTTCCCAGTGCTGTAACAGAATTGGCCGTAGATAGCCATGCATGCTACCTGCAAAGAAAGCCAAGATTGATCTCTTGGAAGCAGGCTTGCCTCCAAGATCTCTTAGAGGATTCTCTGGGGTGAGCACGTATGTCTCCGGAAGAGAAGCATCTTTTCCAAAAACGAAATCTTCTTTAGCATCAGAATTGCAAAGGGCCCTGATGCAATTGGCCATATGCTGTCTAGTTTCAGACGGTGCCTGAGATAAAAGACAACAATGTTGAAGCAATTAGGATTTGCTAAAAACTGAAAATCATTTCAGTTTTCTACACAGATTTTCAACTAGCATATCCAGTATTTAAGATATAAATACACTACCATCACAAACACCAGAAGTAATGAGAAAAAAAAAAATCCAAGAAAATTTCACTGGTCATCACTCGATAATGCGGAAGAGAAACATGACATGGCAATAACTAAACTTTCACATAAGAAAATATAATAACCAAAAAAAATTACCAGACATAACACTGAAGGAGATGAAATGTTCCAAATGTTGGAAGACTCAAAAAGTCCCAAAATTCATTCAAATGTAAAATTGTAAATCTAAAGGAATCAAGAAGAGCATACCCAGTCATGGCAAGCAGCAAGAAAATGATCTGCACCTTGAGTTCTGTTCCAAAAAGGATATTTTTCCGAGATCATATCCAAGTAGTTCTTCAGATATGCTATGAGGTTCTTATGACTGTGTGAATCAGGAACGTACAATCTTATCTCCAAGTATCGAGAACTGAAAGGTAAGTAAAACAGGTGGGCTTTTTTGGAGTCTTTTGTAACAAATTTTTTGTTACCCTCTAGCAATTTCATGAACCATCCCTCAGAAGCATATATCCCCCTGAGCAGGGGCTGATGAAATACAGGCATTTCTCCTTCCTTGTAAATATACACTTTCAGGATGTCCTCCATTAATTCATAGCTCCTACAGTCAGATATTGCAAACTTTTACTATATAATTCTCTTCTCTTGAATGCTTTTGCTTCAGCTACACTTAATTCTATTATCATGCATAAGCAGCTAGCCTACTCTTGCATCTATCTTTAAGCAATTGAACAAATTGCATGTGAACGTGTGTTTAGAGCAGAAGGAAAAGTTTCAAATTTTAATAAGCTTACTTTTTGAACATGGAGATATTCCAATATAGAGGAGCATAGAGCACCGGATCATTCTCTACAATAGGTGCATTCTGAATCTGTGATTTTGCATTTTGCAGTTCTTGGTCAACTACTGAAGGCCATCGTGGTCTCTACAAACAAATTGGTACATAGAACAGAAAAGTTTATGCAACTGCCTCATAAAAGTTAATCCGTGACACAATTCAGAGCATAAGTTTATACATACTCTTGAATTGGGAGAAGACCATCTTTGAAGCTGCAAATTTTTCATCTCAGAAATTGAAACCACTTCCAGGGATGGTGTCTGAGGTTCTTTCTTCAATTCTGGAAAAGAAGTCACAGAAGGGTTATTGTGCAATAAAGTAAGATCTTTCTTCTGGTCCCCTGTTTTCCCATCATTCTCTAAACTGGGTGCTGCATCTTTATCCACCTTAGATGTATTGGACTCAACAGGAACAATATGAGCTATGGTGCTAGGCTCTACATTCCTTGGGAGTGTTGTATTAGGTGGCGAATCCACTGGCAGCAATTCTGGCGCAATAGGTGCAATTCTAGCATCCGAGGCTCCTATATTTTCTGATATGGAGGTGGCGTCTTCGCGAGAAAGGCTTCTTTCGGTCTCTTGTGGAGCAGGTCCATTACCCAAACTGTTGACAGGGTCCAGCGTGGAATTTTCATTTCGATCTAACAACTGTTCAGGTTTAGACTCCTTTCCATGGTTGTCTATTCCAGAAGACTTGTTCAAGCCACTGATTCCTTCTGATACAACACCATTATGTACATATGAGGTGGAGTTCGTATTGGTATCTACCAACTGCTCTGGTGAAGACTCCTTTCCACGGCTATCTATTAGAGAAGACTCATTCAAGCCTCTGCTTCTTTCTGGTACAACATCATTATTTACATTTACAGGGGTTTCTGTTCCATGACTACTGTCAATCTCTTGAGCTCTGTCAGGGGAGATAGCAGTGGTATTCAAACCATTTGATTGAGTTGTGTTACTAACCATCTCTGGTGTTGATGAGGCAGCATGAGTTAACAAGTTACTATTTCCTGCTCCTAGATCTTTCTGAGCAGAAGACAACGATGATATAATATTGCCATTAGGCAATTCAAAATGTTGGAATGTTAAAACCACAGCTACTGCCAGTCCTATAAACCATAGCAATTTCCAGATTTCGATTGTAAAGGGATATCGAAATTCATTGCCCACAAAATACCAAGTAATAAAATACTCAAAGAGAAGGAAATCCCAACTCCTGGAAAAAGGAGAAAGAAAAAACAAAATCCCATAAAGCACACACTAATCATTAATACTTCTCTTCCCTTCCAAACAAGCATGATCCAACAGTGTTTGACTTCACACAAATCCCAGAAAGAAAGAAAATTTCCCTAGGAAACATCATAATCGCCAAAGCAAAACAAAACCAACATGCAATATATACACTAAAAAGGAAAATCAATTTAATCACCAATGACTACACGTATCTCTTTCTTTCTTTCCTAACAAGAAGAAGTCAACACAACATTCACACAAACCCCGTATCAAAATTCTACCATGATAGTCAAAACAAATCAAAACCAGCATTCAAAATCACTATAATCCTAAAATTTACCAGAAACATAAGCAGAGACTTGTTAGCTTCTTCAGCAATACATGCTAGCTCTCTGCTTACAAAGGGAAAAAAAAAGCAAAGGAAGAAAGCAGAAGTCTTTTCTTTGTTTTCTGTCCCAATCAGTCTAACAAGTTATTTTTGTTGGAGGGTAAATAAAGCCAGTTGTTAAAACAATAATTCAGATTCCATGTTTCTTTATTGTCCTTTCTTATATTCCTTTCTTAAGTATTATGTTGTTTTCCCAGCCAACAACCAGTACTTTATTTAAACAATAATTATGGTTTGATGATTGAAACTGGATAAGTAATGAAATAAGATTGGTGTGGTGATGAATAGCAGAGTGAAAATATTTTTACCTGGTTGTTCTTCTGTTGTTTTCCTTCGCTTTCTCTGGGCTGCTACCACAGGGCTGACTTCGTTTGTTCTTGCAGGTTTTTGCACGAGTCCACGCGCGTTTCAGCGGATAGGATTTCGAGCGAGGCTCACTGAGAGTTAGTGGTTACATGTTAGAATTTTAGTTTGTCAATGATGATTGATGACTTTGTTTCGGATCATGTTCAGTTTCCTTTTTGTCTGTTTTTGCTACTAAAAGTTTTGTATATAGAATTAAAAAGATAGTTCTTCGCTTCTTAATGAACAAGGAATTCATTCATGTGCCAAGTACCCTACTGTAAAAGCAAGTTTAAAATATTCATCTATTTGATCCAGATGAGAGTAGTCATTCAAATATAATAAAACAAACATGTGTCAATAAATCTTCTAGTTTTGATTAAATTGATGTATTGTTAATTTATATACTAATCATGAGGTAGGTCAAGTATTTTTATATATAAAATAAGATACACCAACAGTAAATAAAAACAAAATCAAAACACAAATTATTTGAAAAAAAATAATCACATCATCATCGAAGGTTTCACTTGAAAATGCCTTCTTGAAAGGAAATATGCCATTGGAATGATGGTTTTCTTGAAAGAAAATTGCTATTAGACTAATAAGCATCGAACTGATGATTTTCATTTTGAAATAAAAATATTATCTTGAAGAAAAATGTTGTTGTCGGAGTGACGAACTTGAGATAAAATGTTGGTCGAAAGAAATTTGGCATAAGATTGATGATGAGCCGTCTCGCCTGAGCCCTAATGAGAAAGTTGCTCCCCCGTCGCTTTCCAGAGAGTGAACCCACAGACACATACAGTGTTTTGCACGTAACCAGCAGGAGCAGTGTGTTTTTTGGGCAGCCATGCTAAACACCTGCCAGATGTGACTCCTGATTTGGCGTCAAGCGCTGGCCTTTAGCGGCAGGAGCCTCACCTAATAATTCAGCAATGGTACTCTTTTTTCTGGGACTTTAGGGAGCATGGGGACCGGTTTCTGATCATGCCGTGGTCCGTGATGCAAGTTTGTACCTAGGATAGGATTGAGTTTGTTTTTCTATTTTAAAATATTTTTTTAAAAAAGTTATTTATTTTTTATATTTTTCTTGCTAAACTGTAGAACTTCGCAAGTTCAGCCCTTCTCGTATAGAACAACAAGGGAAGGTGCTCATGCACTCGTTGTTTATTTGGTAGGTTCGCTTCTCTCCATTGTCGCCTTGACAAGAAAAGAAAATGATTGAATGGGCTGTAGAATTTTGATTCAGTACTTTTGGTGGATCGTGCTTGTAAATTTAAAAAACATTGTTAATTCTTTTTATTTCTTAATTTTTTTATTCCAAAAACTTTTAGTTATGAAGGGTTTTAAAGATTTTAATTGGTAGCCATCCAACGATTTAGTTTTGAAAACAAAGTAAGATTCATTCTTGGACCTAGTTGATAGGTTATCAAATTAATTTATTATTTTTTATAATAATTAAAATATTTTTTATTTAAGTTTACTAATTACTATGCATAGATCAAAATCTTTTCTATATATATCATTCATAACTACCCAAATATTTCTCATACGAGTCCAACATACACAGCTCAAAGTAAGGGTAATTATTTTCAATTTAATTTAATTTTTATTTAAAAAATAAAAAACTTATAAAATATATCGATCAATTTTGATTCATTATTTCATATTAAAAATTAAAACCTAATCAACTAATTTTAGTTTTATTTATTTGGTTTAATTTTGGTTGGTTCTTTTATTTTATATTAAAAACAAAAATTATATTGTTTTTTAAATTTATTTTAATTTTTTAATAAACTTGATTTTGATTTAATTCAATTTTTTTTAGTTTAATTTTTTAATTTCAGATTTATAAAATCAAATCAAAACTTGATTTTGATTTAATTCAATTTTTTTAGTTTAATTTTTTAATTTCCGATTTATAAAATCAAATCAAATTAAATAATTTTTTAAATATTTTACTTTAATCAGCATCACATCACATCTGTTGACAATTCAATATTAAATCTTTAATACAGGATAACAAATACTGTTTCTTAAAAAGAAAAAGAAAATCAAAATCTTCAAAAAGCAACTCGGGCCGTCTACCTGTCCACTGGACCTGTCTCCAAACCCCAATTAAGATCCACTATCATTCCAGTCTAGCCTAAAACTTAAACCAAAACCCAAATTGTTAAACCCTAATTCCCCAATTCTGCATCTTTGTTTGCAATCTTCAAATTAAAATCCTGTTTTCTCATTTATACACTCGCTTACTGTTAAAAAGTTTCAATCTTATTATTTTATTTATTTTGTTTTTTCAATATTCTGTAATAAAAAAAAGGGAACTTTGTGATTGGTTTTTTTGTGAGGGTGAATTAAATTATGGGGACTGACAGAGATGATGGTCGTTCACTAAGCCAATTAAGACCTCTCTCTTGCTCTCGCAATGTAATTCACCGTGCCCATGGCTCTGCTAGTTGGTCTCAAGGTACTTCCTTTCTTTAAATATTTTTTTGGGTTTTGTTTTTATTTTATTTTCTTGTTTATTTAGTTTACGAGATTTGTTTTGGGTGTTGTATTTATTGTCCAATTTGGACAAATGGGTTGTTGGTTTTTCTCTTAAATTTTGCTTTTGGATTGGAGAATTGTTAAGTGGGTATTAAGAAGGGAGTATAAGAAAGGACAATAAAGAAACATGGAATCTGAATTATTGTTTTAACAACTGGCTTTATTTACCCTCCAACAAAAATAACTTGTTAGACTGATTGGGACAGAAAACAAAGAATAGACTTCTCCTTTCTTCCGCTGCTTTTTTTTCCCTTTGTAAGCAGAGAGCTAGCATGTATTGCTGAAGAAGCTAACAAGTCTCTGCTTATGTTTCTGGTAAATTTTAGGATTATAGTGATTTTGAATGCTGGTTTTGATTTGTTTTGACTATCATGGTAGAATTTTGATACGGGGTTTGTGTGAATGTTGTGTTGACTTCTTCTTGTTAGGAAAGAAAGAAAGAGATACGTGTGGTCATTGGTGATTAAATTGATTTTCCTTTTTAGTGTATATATTGCATGTTGGTTTTGTTTTGCTTTGGCGATTATGATGTTTCCTAGGGAAATTTTCTTTCTTTCTGGGATTTGTGTGAAGTCAAACACTGTTGGATCATGCTTGTTTGGAAGGGAAGAGAAGTATTAATGATTAGTGTGTGCTTTATTGGGGGATTTTGTTTTTTCTTTCTCTTTTTTCCAGGAGTTGGGATTTCCTTCTTTTTGAGTATTTTATTACTTGGTATTTTGTTCTTGTCTCTACAGGCTTTGTCTTCTGTAAAATGCGTTTAGCCTTTTTAACTCTGTTGTTTCTTGTGGAAATTGGTTGCATTAAATATAGATTGTCCAGCTTATTAATTTTTAGTTAATGTTTTAATTTAATTTTTGAGTCTGTGCTCATTGTTGATAAACCTGTGTGATTTGCTTGTTGCTTCAGCTTATTTCTTTGTGCATTATCGTAGTAGAACTATCTTCAATTTATGCAAACAATCCAGCTGCATTTCAATCACATTTATCACAATAAATTTGAGGACTAGCTGTATATGAGGAGTTAGGGTCTAGGCTTTAAGTTCATCTATGTTCGTAAAATGTACTTTATCTTTATTGAAGTGAAGGATTGGAAATGCTATGCAGGGTGCAGGGATAATATTTGTATTGAAAGGCAGCTGGATTTCAATAGAGTAGTTTTCCAATGGGCAATGAATTTCGATATCCCTTTACAATCGAAATCTGGAAATTGCTATGGTTTATAGGACTGGCAGTAGCTGTGGTTTTAACATTCCAACATTTTGAATTGCCTAATGGCAATATTATATCATCGTTGTCTTCTGCTCAGAAAGATCTAGGAGCAGGAAATAGTAACTTGTTAACTCATGCTGCCTCATCAACACCAGAGATGGTTAGTAACACAACTCAATCAAATGGTTTGAATACCACTGCTATCTCCCCTGACAGAGCTCAAGAGATTGACAATAGTCATGGAACAGAAACCCCTGCAAATGTAAATAATGATGTTGTACCAGAAAGAAGCAGAGGCTTGAATGAGTCTTCTCTAATAGATAGCCGTGGAAAGGAGTCTTCACCATAGCAGTTGGCAGATACCAATAGGAACTCCACCTCATATGTACATAATGGTGTTGTATCAGAAGGAATCAGTGGCTTGAACAAGTCCTCTGGAACAGACAAACATGGAAAGGAGTCTAAACCTGAACAGTCGATAGATCGAAATGAAAATTCCACGCTGGAACCTGTAATTAGTTTTGGTAATGGATCTGCTCCACAAGATAGGAAAGAAGCCTTTCTCGCGAAGACGTCACCTCCATATCAGAAAATATAGGAGCCTCGGATGCTAGAATTGCACCCATTGGATTCGCCACCTAATATAACACTCCCAAGGAATGCAGAGCCTAGCACTATAGCTCATATTGTTCCTGTTGAGTCTAATACATCTAAAATGGATAAAGATGCAGCACCCAGTTTAGAGAATGATGGGAAAATAGGTGACCAGAAGAAAGATCTATGCTTTATTTGATAGCTGACAGATGCAACACAATTGTTTTTTTTTTTAAATGTTTTGGACTTAATTGATGGCAAAGTCTCATAGTATTTGTTTTCTCTACAACCAAACAAAGGTGGCTATGTGCGTTTTAAATTATTGTTTTTTAAGTTTACGAGTTAATTTTTTTCTTTTGGTCATTATTTTGCTAAAAAAGATTGTTTTCTTTGGGTGTTCCTTGTATAGTTTTTTGTTTTCCCGATCTTAAAATTATTTAAAAAAAGTTGAATATTAGTATAACGTGTAAGGTTGATTTTTATTTGATTCTCATTGCCTGGAACCTTTGATCTAACCATTGACATTTCACATTTTCAATTGGCTAATTGCATGAATATATAAGCTCGAGTTAAAGTACATAACTAGTTCTAGTATAAAAAAAATCCAAGTAATATAAGAATAGAGTTTTTATGTTAGATAATTGATTAATCATTTGATTTTAAAAATTTTATCCATTCTTTGTTGGTAGGTTAAAATGACTTATGACTGATACTTGTAAAAAGTTTTATTTAATAGAGGCGAGGATTTTCTAATATTTAAATAAATATTATTTAAAAAAAAAATATTATAGAAAGAGATATTTTAAAAATATATATTTAATAGAAAATAAATATTGTAAATCTTGGTTATGAAGGTCTTATGATATATTTATAGTTGACAAATTTTTTTTTTTATAAAGAGAAATGTTTAGAGTATAATTTTATCTTAATAACAATTAATGAGAAATAAATATTTTTTATATTTATATTATTATTTGATGAAAATATAATGAATTTTTTTTAAAAATTTATACATCTATTTGATGAAAATATAATGAATTTTTTTAAAAAATTTATACATCTAAAAGGTATAAAAAAAATTAACTAAATTTATAAAAATTGAGCTTTTTCTTTAAACTAGATTTATAAAAGATGAGTTGTTTTTTAAATAGCTAAAAAGAGACTAAGTTTGTATGAGCTTAATAAAAAAAATTATTTTTCGGACATGATTAATGGTGAAAACATTATTCTTTTTGATGTGTCACAGGAGGATGCTTATTCCTTTGATTGAGCTTTAAGGAAGGATGATTCTTAGGGTTTTTTAGGCTTATTAAATTTAGTTTTATCAATTTTTATGTTAATTGAGGACCTTCCTTGGCACTCCATCTCCCTCTTAATATGAACACACAAATACACATTGTAGCGACAGCACGTGGGCTCCAGGTAAGCTGATGTGCACAAGTTGATGTTAATAATATCTACAATTAAGGCCCTGAACGCTTATAAACCTATACATCGGTACAAGATCAGTTGTGCATACCTAGCTAAGCTATCATTGAGGGAAGACTATGTAAGGATGACGACTACATCAACAATGGCTTTTCATGTGAATTGCTCTGCACAGAGGAGGCCTTCTCTCTTCCAAAACATTGATCGTTTTAAGACTAGTTTGTCTTCATCTTACAAGGAAAGTAATATATTCTAGTTTCTCTTCGTCACTCTAAATTAAGGCATGTGGATCAAATGCTAATTTCCTTAACTCTTGTTTAATCCACCAGTTCAAGAACATACTAATTGGTTCTATGATCATATTTACTCTATATATCAAGCATGTTTTGTTTGTTAGAACTTGATTTAAGATAGCTGATATTGTGGATGTTTTTTAGCATGCAGCCATTACTGAAAGAGTTGAAGCAACTTTCCTTGCAACTTGATGTTTCCCAAATTATGAAAAATGCTTCAGTCAAACTTTTGGATGCCTTAGTCGATTCGATGTTCCATTTTGCTGACCAGCCCATTCTTCCTTCTCAGGTAATCAAACCATGAAACCTTGACTAGCTACTCACCTCTCCAGTTGTATCAAGCACCGTGGTCAGGCCCGGTCAACTCAGTTACCCACTTAGATTTGGCCCACGTAGGTCAGAATTTTAAAAAAAAACTTTTTAAATTTAATTTCTTTAACAAGATTTGTTGATATAGATTGATTCATCCAACTCGTGAGCAAGCGGTTAGACGGGTCATTTACCTAATTATATAAATAAATAAAATGAATCATTGTATAAATAAATAAAAATATAAATAAAAAAACAAGAGACTAATATAAATTAAGATATTTAATATTATAATATAACATGAATCACTTATTTAGATTTTTTTAATATTTTGATAAAAATAAATTATTTTAGTGGTCAAAATTTTTTCAAGAATGTCCTTTTTTTTTCTAAACCAGAATCTGGAAACTCTTTCTCTCTTTTTTATAAAAAAAACTAAAAAAAAAAGGAAAATAAAACCTAGTTCTAAAATATATTTAAAATTTTTTAAAACCTAGTTCTAAAATATATTTAAAAAAAATTTATAAGAATCAATCACTTAATAACTAAAAAACTATAAGAGATAAAAATAACTTTAGAAACAAATTTTAAATTAAGCTGCCAACTATGTTACCCTTACCCGTGTTTTTCATTTTAATTCTCTCCTTTTCAAATCAACACTCCATATCAAAAAAACATGCAATTGGATATTGATATGGGCTGAAAAGGGTTCAATTGTGGAAAGAAAAAGATTGAGGACCAAAATATTTTTTTAAATGAACTATTATAATCCATTGAGAAAATAAACAGTAAATTAGCTACAGTAAATTAGCTATATATTTTATTTTTTTGTTAATAACAATAATGTCGAAAATCACACCTTGATTAAACTATGTCAAGTTTATTTTGTCTCTTCTTTAAATTGGAGTGTTGGGAGTCAAGTTGTGATTATTCGTAACTTTTCTTTACTTATAAGCACGATCAACTGCCATTGATGACCGCTAGCTTGGTCAAATCAAATATAATTTCAGGACCAAATCCGGTGTAAAATCTACGACCTCCATGTTTGGGAAGACAGGTCACATCTGGATAGAAGGAGAAGGAATGCTTCATGCTTTATACTTTGATAAAGAAAGTGACATTGGAAGCTGGACGGTCCTTTATAGCAGTAGACATGTTGAAACCGAAACCTTCATAGTGGAGAAAAAAAGAAACAAGCCATCTTTTCTTCCAGCCATAGAAGGCAGTTCTCCAGCCATTTTGATAGCTTGCTTGTTAAATATGGTGGGCATACTAACTTAAGCTTATCTTTCATGAAATTAAATGAGTGTTTGTTTTTCCATTAAATCTGTTTTAATGTTTTTTCAAATTATTTTTTGCTTGAAAAACATTAAATTAATTTAATTTTTGGTTTTTTTGAATTATTTTGAAATATATATATATATATATATACATACACACACTAAACACATTTATGATCATTCTCTCGGCAATATCTCTTAAAACATCTACCGCATGCATAGATAAGGCCAATATAGGTAGCAATTGCTCTATTAGGACAAAATTTCGCAAGTTTATTTGGTTAATTCAACCAGATTTATCTCTTGTACACTCTCATAATTGATAATTGGTTGCTTCAAGTTTCGTAACTCTAATCCGATGGAATTTGATGGAATTGCTTAGCAAGTTTGGCAAAAAAAGTCATAATTATTAAGGTAAAACATCCAATATTTTTATATTACTTTATTCATTTAGGGTGGTCCGATCCTTACACAATTCCTGTGGATCCTCCAAGTTCCATTACTTGTTTGTGATAATCTTAATAATTAAACGCACATAGTTTATTTGTAAACTTTACAGTTTGATATACATAGGACAAAGTTCAAATCTTACTGACTTATCCAAAAATTAAGCATATCCAATATAAAAATAAATACTTAAATAAGTGTTTATTTTTACACAATCTACCTTAATGTTTTTTAAAATTATTTTTTATCTAAAAAACATTAAATTAGTCTATTTTTAGGTGTTTTTGGATTCTTTTAAAATGTGCATGTGTGTGTATATATATTATGATTCACTGGTTAATTTCTCTTAAAATATCTACCACGAGCATAAATAAGGTCAATATATATCTAGCAATTGCTCTATTAGGACAAAATTTCTCAAATTTATTTGGTTAATTTCAACAAGATTTATACACTCTGATAATTGATAAATGGTTGCTTCAAATTTCGTAACTCTAATCCGATGGAATTTGACGGAATTGCTTAACAAGTCATAATTATTTAGGTGAAATATTTATTATTTTTATATTAGTTTATTCATAACAATTCAATAACTTAAGTTGTTATATGAAATTTTAAAATATAATTTATATTATTCTTTAATATATTTCTGAGAGCTTTTTAAATTATATTATTTTTGAATATTTTTTTAAAATAAGTCATAAAATAATTTTTTTAAAAAAGGACTTATTTTGCTTATAGTAAATTTAGGGTAAGTCTTGGATGGTAAATTAAGTGGGTTAATTAAAGTTTATTTATTTTTTTAATTTTATTAAAAAATAAATTAATCAATTTTTTTAACTGATTAAGTAATGAATCAATCCAGGTTTTTGAATGCTTATACTAAGTTAATTTTTTTTTAATTTTATTAAAATTTAGTTTGCTTTAAATCTTGGATCATTGGTGTCTCAAATCAAATCACCAAATCAGATTGGGTTTTAAAATAGTTGTTCTATTTATATAAAATCATAGCTTATTATATTTTCGATCAAGAAGATACCTTGTGTTTAGGCTTGTAAAAACGAGAGGTGAAGAACAATAAAAAAGGAAGTAAAGAATTATTAAAATAATAAAAAAAGAGGGAAGTGGTGAGGTGGTGTAGAACTTTTTATAATAATGGAGTGGGGAACATGTAATTATAATAGTTATTATTATTATTGTTGTCGTCGTTTTCTTTTTCCTTAACTTGGTGATGAAATCTTTAAGGTATTTTTAAATAAGTATAACTCAAACATCCTTGATATCTGAGAATTAATTAAATTCAGTGCGATTTGGAAAGGTCAACAAAGACCTTAGCAACGCCAATGTTTTCGAGCATTCAGGGAAGTTCTACCCTGTACAGAAGTCCAATATACGCATGCATGTTTAACATGGAATAGAAAACACAGTTCAACTTGATATTTTTTTATGAAATTTCTTGTTTGTTGCAGACAGCACCAGGTACTGGAGAGTTGGTTGTATTTGGGGTTGATGCAATAAAACCTTTCATGGAAGTGGGAGTCTTTTCTGGTATCTATTCATTTTCCCTGCTTTCGATGCCTTCAGCATAAGTATTCCCAATAATTTTTCATTACTTCTTTGACAATTGAACTTGCAAACCCGATTTTCAGCTGATGGAAAGAGACTAGTTCACAAGGTTGATCTCAAGTTGAACAGTTGCCCCCTTAGTCATGACATGGGGGTTACGGAGAGGTCAGTGGTGTACATCACCATCAACGAATTGTCATTACTGGGGAAAAAACCATTGAATATAATAAAATTTAACCCTCAAAATTTATTTATTATTTTTGCAGGTATAATGTGATCATGGATTTTTGCACTAACAATAGACTTACACAGACTCATCAAAGGCGGCCCGTGAGTATAGATATATTGAGAGCTTTTAAGTGTCAATTAATTAGCTCTGATCTAAATGTTACTGCTCCAGTGAGAAGCACTTAATAATCTGGTTTAAGGTGCTAATTCATATATTAATAAAGTTCGATAACGAAGATTATGCAAGAATTGGGATTATGCCCGGTATGGTGATGTGGACTCGGTTCGTTGGTTTGAGGTGGAGCCAAATTGCACATTTCACATTCTTAATTGTTTTGAGGAAGGAGTTGAGGTGAAGTACTAATCATATGAACATAGTTTGTAGTTCGACTTGAAGCAGGTTGTAGTGAGGGGATGCAGGTCCCTTGAATACATTATATCAAAATCTTATGGTATGGATTTGGAAGAATCTGAGTGGGTTTCAGGAAGACTAAGGAGTAAAGAACATGTTGAACAGAATCCTACACCTTCGTCGAACGATGAATTATTGTTCAGTCGATCTAATGAATGGAGATTAAACATGGAAACCGTAAAGGTTAAAGAAAGAAACCTCACTGGAACTGAATTTTGTATGGAGTTTCCTATGATCAAATCCAAGTCTCAATGGCTTAAAAAATAAATTTGGCTCCACCCAGATAGTCCATGAACCGGCAAGTAGTTCATCAGATCAGCTATAAATTCCGAAATACATTAATCTCATCTCTTGAAATCTTATTATATCCCTGACCCTTTCATAGCAAGTAAGATTTCAATCTGGATGTTTGAGGGCTGCCAAAATTTGGAGGTCTAGCCAAGTTGTTCTTTGATGAAACTTCGAGTAAGGTAATTAAATTGCTGGATACCTGGTCCGATTTTATTATCTCATTATTATTTCTTTACTTTCACTCATAAATTTATGCTAATCTAGGAAGGGGAGAAAACGGAAGGGCATATAAAGGTGGAATACCATGAATTCGAGGGAAACACCTTCTGCACTGGATCTGCCTTTGTCCCTAAAGAAGGTGGTCTAGAAGAAGATGATGGCTGGATCATCACTTTTGTCCCTAAAGAAGGTGGTCTAGAAGAAGATGAGGGCTGGATCATCACTTTTGTTCATGATGAAGACGCCAATACATCCAAAGTAAGCTAATTTTATAGCTCCAAAGCAATAGCGTAGAACTGTTTTAGCAATTCTAAAGCTTGGTCCCTAATCATTAAATTTTTTTTCCCTTCCTCCTAATTCAGGTTTACATAATTGACACTTCACAAGTGAGCCTGTTGCCAAAATTACATTGCCATGCAAAGTCCCATGTGGATTCCATGGAGCATTTATGCCAATTCCATCGCACAATTAATTGGACATCATAAGCCACATTAACTTTGTGGAGAAATTAGCCGACTTGACAAGAACCTTGGATGCAATTAAGTCTAAAGGATTTTAGAGTAATTCAGGAAGTAATCGAGCAAGCTGAAAACTACGGAAGTGAGTTAATACTATATATTAATTAGTTAGGGTTAATTATTTTATACTGTAGAATGAAATGAAAGCTAAATGGCAAAGGCTTCATATGTCTAGTGGAAGGGGCCTAGATATATATACTTTGGAGTTTAAATAATTCTTTTTTTGTTTTTAATAAAGACATCAACTATTTCTTCAGAATATCCATTTAATATTTTTATGATGACATGTAATTTCTATATTTCAAATAACAAAACAGAGATAATTATCAATGGAAATATATTCCCATCAATTATTTCATTCCCCACTCCATCCATAAATTTCTTCAAGATAACTTTTTGAATGCTAATTCTTATAAACAAACTAAGGATCTAATATAGAATTTTTAGATTTACCAAAAAAAAAAATTGTTGGTATTTATGCTCACAATTCATCCGCAAGAAATTTGCTAATGTGATCACGAACAAAAATAATCCATTGAAAAAACTCTTGTAGGTAATTTATAATCTGTCAATAATAATTTTACAAATAAATTTATTGACAGATAAAACATGCCAAGAAAGAACTTTACCCCTTCATTCTGTCGGTATTTCTATCAGTGAATATAATATATCACCAACAGAAAAACTTTATGTTATTCCATTGATGATTTTTTTCTTTCATCGGTATATCTATCGGTGAATTCAACATGCAACTATTAAATAGATCTTCTGTTATTCTATCAATTAGTAAATAATAATAGTGATATTTGCATTAATTCTTTTCTAACTTTTTAAAATATACCGACATATATAGTTTGTCAATAATCCTGTCAGTAATAATTTTAAAAAATATATATTTTTTAAAAAATCTATTAAACAAAAACAACAAAATAATTAAGAAAACTAAATTAATATAAAATTCAAATATTTGTTTTAAATCTAAACACTTACAAGTTTAGATGTACTTAATCTAGAATAAAAGTGTTGAAGGAGGAGGAGGAGGCGGGTCTGTGCCTGGACCGTGTGGCAAATAAGAAGAAGCACATGTATCACTTATTTGTGATCTTATCTCCAACACCAATTGGTAGAGTTCAACTATCTCAGTATTAAGTTGTTTATAATTAGCAGCAAGATGAGTCATCCAATCTTTAACTCGTTGGTTTAAAATTACCTCGAACTATATAGTTTGAGAGCTTAGAACCGATTGTGAGCATGTAACTATTAAAACATTATGGGCCTTTCACAAGAACTTGACGTTAGTGTTAGAAAAACCGTACACCTAATTTTTATTATTCAGGTCTTAACTTGAATAATTTTTTTTACAATATCTAATGAATTTATATTGTCCCAATATCATTATAGTGAGAAAATTATTGATAAATTCTCTAAACATTATAATAGTAAGGTGAAACACCAATGAACATAAGTGTTCATTTGTCCAAAACATAAGTGTTCATTTGTCCAAAAATAAAGGCAAGAGAATAAACCAATTAAAATATTCTCAAATAATTAGGAGTTTAATGTGTGTTATGATCTGCACAAGGCTTCATATTTCACACTTGATTAACAAACTAGGTAGATTTATCAGTAATACAAGTATAAATAATTGAAAAGTAATAAAAAAGTACTCAAATATTTAAGGCATGCCTTGGGTTATGAGCTACTTTATATGGGTTACTTAATAGTAGTTGAAAAGATATAATGATGCCAATTAGATATCCAATACTAAAGATTCAAAATCCACTAGTGGATATATCTTCTCACTTAGTAGAGTAGCTGTATCATGGAAATCCTCTAAACAAACATGCATCACAAAATTCATGATAGATTTAAACCTTCCCAATTCTTATTTTTTCAAGTATGGAAATCATTTGCAAATATGGTCCAAGTAATAAATGCCCAAATTTCATTTGGGTCCCAATTCCCATATGATTCTTATATTATATTGGCCTAGATTAGTCCAAATGAAAGTCAGTAGGATTTAGAGACACCATGTCCTCATCTATAAGATCCTATGTGTTTGGATAAGTTGAAAGTTTAATTCTATTAAAACTACTCATTTTCAAATGATATTCGACTAAGGCTTAAGATATTGTTGGTCAATAAGTTAATGTCACTTATGAAGTGCAACGATTACTAAAAATGATTGAGTTCGAGCTATAGCTATAAGTGCTACAGATAGTCTAATGAGAGGAATATAAATGGTAACACTTAGCAACAAAAACATCTTCAACCTAGCAAGTCCTCTCCAAACTAAGCTAGATAGTCTCTTATCACTAGGCTCACCAACTAATCTGAAAGTGAATATGAGATTTATCTATTTTATAATGATTAAATAGAGTCCTTTAGAGTTTATTGCTTTTTATGAAGTTGGAGAGAAAACTAAATGACTTTATAATCTCTTAGATGATATTTTATAGCGGTCAAAACTAGTGCTAGCAATTTGTGTTCATTATAACAATTAGTCTATAATTGTAAGAACACATAATAATGTGTATCATTGTAAGTCAAGACATATATATCATAAGTATATTATTATTACACACTTGTTCTCAAATGAAATTATTTTTATTGACTATATATGTAAAGTCAAAGAAAAATATAGTGGATTTGCTAACCAAATATTTATCGAATATTTATCGAGAGAACTTATATATAGTTCACCTAGAGAAATTGAGTTAAAACCTTTACAAATAAAATAATGTAATACTAATTGATTAAAAATCTCAAAATCTAGATTTAAATAAAAAAAATTAAATCATATATTATTCTAAGTTTCTTGCACGCTAAAGTCAAAACCAAAGCATACAAGGAGTGATATCCTGCATTCTAAAGTCAAAACCATAGCATCCAAGTAAAATTATAATCTATACTTTTAACAAGTTGAACATATACGAAATCTTTTTGATTTTGACATTTTGATTTTTTTAAATAAGATAATATATTTAATATATAATAAATTTTTAATAAGATAATATATTTAATATATAATAAAAAAAATTTCTAATTTATGTGATAGTTCTTAAAATTTCTACATTTTTTTTGTAGAATCAAATATTTCAACATAAAAAAATATAATTTTACATTTAGTTATGTACATGCGTAGAAAATGTCTTTCATACAATCCTTGTACATAATGAAACTAATAACTATCCTATGTATGTAGGACAAGTATACAATTCTTATACATAATTATGGATCTATGTGGTTATAGATACGTAGTGTCGTGCATCTAATGTGGAAACTAAAGCATACAAGGAAAAACCATATCATGTGAATTTTATGGATATTTGTAGTGATGGATACATAGTGTGCGTGTATGTATATACATACGCCGCACTCTAAAGCATAAGGCAAGAAATCTCATGGAATACAATCATTTAAGTGAGAGAAATAAAATAGTTATTAGTTAAGGTTTTTTTTATATATTTATTTTTCACTAAATTATATGTATTCAATTTGAATTTGAATTCAGTGTTTTAGCTTCAATAAACATGATACAAGAAAAAACGAGGATATAAATCCATATGATGTAATATTAATAGAAAGGATATATATATAGACACACACGCACACACTGAATCAAACACTGAGGAAATCTAGTTGAGAGAGAGAGAAAGATGTTGTTGACTTCAAAAATAGCTTTTCAAGTGAATTGCTCTACAGAGAGTCGGGCTTCTCTCTCGGGAAACATAGATCGTTTTACGACTAGGTTCTCTTCTAGTTTCAAGGTAATCACTCCTAGTCTCTCTCTGTCATTCTACAGGCATGTGGATCAAATATTAATTTTATCCTTAGTTTTTTTCGTCAATCTATATATACGATTAAGTAAGATTAATAACACAAGCTATTTGCTTCTTTCATATGCACGATACCTTCCGTGTTTTCTTTGATAAAACTGGATTTAACGTATATACAATCGTGTGTTTGTTTTGAGCAGCCACTACTGAAAGAGTTGCAGCAACTTCCTGCGCAACGTGAGGTTTTCAAAAACATCAAGAATGCTTCTGCCAAACTCTTGGATGCAATTGTCGACTCAACGTTTAAGTTTGCTGACCAGCGCGTTCTTCCTTCTCAGGTAATATTTAAACCATCAAACCTTTATTGTAACTACTCAACTCTCCAGTACCTGGCATCAAGGATTGATGAATAATTTTCTAATCGGCTGTTTGTGAGTTCTTGCAGAGTAACTTTCTGCCAGTCGATGAATTGAACGAGCCTTTTGTTATTACCAGCATTGAAGGCAAAATCCCAGATGATTTTCCTGAAGGTGTCTTCATAAGAAATGGTATCTTCTTGAACTCAATGCTTTAAATTTTGTCCCCATGCTTGTTGATATCTGAAAATAATACTATTTTTCAATACTAAAGATTGAAGGAGAAGGAATGCTTCATGAACTCAATACTTTAAATTTCAGGTCCAAATCCTCTATTTGGAGGTCTAAAATCTACGACATCCATCTTTGGAAAGACAGGGCACATTTGGATTGAAGGAGAAGGAATGCTTCATGCTTTATACTTCGATAAAGACAGTGATAGTGGGAGGAGGACTGTCCTCTACAAAAATAAACATGTTGAAACCGAAACATTCAAGTTTGAAAAACGAAGAAACAAGCCATCATTCATTCCAGCTATAGATGGCAGTCCGCCAGCCATTTTCTTAGCATACATGTTTAATATGGTGAGCATACCAATCCTAAACCTTTTCCCTTTTTTCAGAAGTATGGCAGTCCGCCAACCATTTTCTTAGCACACATGTTTACTATGGTGAGCGCACTAATCCTAAACCATTTCCCCCCCAGCCATTTTCTTAGCACACATGTTTAATATGGTGAGCGCACTAATCCTAAACCTTTTCCCTTTTTTTTTAGAAGTATTATTCTTAAACATTTTTTTAAGGTATCATGATTCACATGTCAAGTATTCTTAAAATTTCTCTGGCTTGGGGCCATTAAAAAAAAAAAATCCTCCGACAAGTATCTACCACATGCATATATGCACATAAGTCCAAGATAGCAATCTAAATTAATCCCGTGAAATAATAGACAATTACGTGAAAGTTTTTCTAAGAAAATGTGCATATCTTTTTTAATTCTAGCAAAATTGAACTAATAAACTTAGGAGTTAAGTTTTTTATTACAATGTTCTATAGGAAAATTTAATAACCATTATAAGAAGTAG